GATGGTGACACCATGCAATGGCAAGAGACATGCTCCCTCTGTGGTGTTTCCAGAGCAAAACTGAGCTGTGATTCAGATCTTTCAGGTAAAACTTCCCACAAAGATCTCTTTTGTTGCTGTGAATTAACAAACCAAGGTCCCTCTTGGTTGGATGGAAGGGAGAGGGTGGAAGCTTGCCAAGAAAATGCAATGTGAACCAATAAAATAAAAAATGTTCTGACAGCCCTCCTGTTAGAAATCACAGTGTGGCACTTATATTAAATCTCATTTTTAGTTTACAGAAGGCTGTAGCTGGTGGCTTCAGTTGTGTCACACAGAACAGAGTTCCAGCGATTGTTTTTGGTTAAACACTTTAAAATGTTTTCTTTCTAAGTCTTCTATCAACTTTTGTTTTAATTGTGCAGATTGTCCTGAACTGCTTGCCCAAATGTCAGGTTACAAACAAATGTGCCAGATATGTTTTTGACCATGTCTGTGTTGTATCATCTCATTAATCTTTCTGATTTCTCTTCAGTGGCCATTATCTTTGTAGCCTTTTTCCATGAAGAAAAATCTCAATTATCTTTACAATCCTTTTTGAAACTGTGTTCATTTTTTACCATTCCCTCTTGGGTTTGTGGCACAGATCTGCTCACAGCACTCACCAAGGTAATTACTTGTGGTTTTGCTAGTGCACAGCACATTGGCATGTTCTGTTTACCAATATTTTGACTCTGAAGCAGAAGTTTGACACATCTGCTCAAAACATCTGTAGTGTTTGATCATGCTGAGCGGATCAAAATGACCTTTGTTTTCCCAGGCTGTCTTTGTCTCACCAAATGCTGCAGTGAGTTTAGATTCCTTCAGGCAAACTACTCCAGCCCTTGCCATTGTCTACAGCGAGCGACATCTGAAGCTGTGCTGCCCACCTCATTCATATTTGGCAATCTTATTGAAGTGGTATCCTTGCAAGTCCTGTTAATTTTTTTATTTCCCTGTTGATTTTTTCATCTCGTTATTCATTGTTTTCCATCCAGAAGCTAAGAGGTATCTCCAAAGCTCGGGCCTCTTTTCTTGTCCCGACCCCAGGAGATCCAGCAAGGCCCAGTGTGGCTCTTTGCCTCCCTCAAGTGACTGGCACAAACACCAACCTCTGTGCAGCTGCAACACCTTCCTGTCACTCACACCCTCAGGTGTGCTGCTCCCCTTGAGGAAGCTCTTCTCTTTTTCCTCTTGTTTCTTTTAGAAATGAAGATTTTTAGATAGAGGTGTTTTTCTTTGCCTGGCCACGTCAGGATGAGAGAATGATGGCCTCTGGCATTGCTGCTTGAGGTAGCTGCTCCAGGCCCAGCCTTTTCCAGGACATCATCACTAGCCCATCTGACTTTCTAGCAGTCTGAAAAATTCCACCTTTAAACTTTGTGCCCAGGTCTCTCAGCAGCTGTGGTGGTGGGAGCAGACCTTGCTGACCTGGGCCTGGGGGAGCCGAGGTGCTGTGCTGTGTCTGAGGCACTGCTGTGAGGCACTGGGACACCTCCCAGGCCTGGCAGTTTCTGCACAGAACTCCTTACACGTTCTTACTAAAGCTGTGCTCAGGAGATCAGAGCCAAGGTTGCTTCAAGAGAGCTCAGCTCAAGCTCAGGACGTTGCAGAATTGTCCTTTAGTTCTTTTGTCATATATACCTGTCTTTTTTCACTGTGTCCTTTAGCTATCCACATCCTTTTTCCAGAGTCACCAGACAGCTCCGGTCAGGGCAGTGGCACGAGAACAAGCAACATGAGGGACACTTGAAGAGAGAATTCCCAACTGGCTGCCTCCCTTCTCAGCAGCAATGATTAGCCTGGCTCTGAATGACAGAGTGCAATAAAATGGAGACAGTTCTGCCCTTGATGTATAATAAGTGAAAGACTAGTGGGAAATATCTCTGAAAACTTTCCTCCACTAAGAGTAGATGAGTGAGCACAGCCCTTTTCTGTCTGCCTTTCTCTTCACTCAGCAGCAGCCTGGAGCTGAGCCTTTAGTGTCTTTGCCCTTCTCTTTCCTACCTTCTTTTGCAGCTCCTATAGATAAAAAAATAATGTGACTTTTCTGGTGCCCTAACCCCATTCTGTCACTCCTGCTGCACTCCTGTGAACGTGCATTATCCGACGATAAAGCTGCTGTGCAGCCAGCATGGAAATGGCATTGGCACAGCTGTAATGGAGGCAGGAATTTATGTCTGGGGCCAGCTGGAGTTCTGAGGGATTGTACCTGAGCTAATAATACCTTGTTGCGAGCCACTGAGTTCAGCTAAATCATTTGGGGCAGGAAAACCTATTGGTGCTATTCAAGTGTAATATATTTTTCTTTGAAAAGTGTAATATAATTTTTCTTTGAAAAAAAGAAGTGTTTACTTTTAATTGGAATCAATGCCAGTGTCCTGGTGTTTCTGGAGGGAACCCATTTGGAGGTTCTCTCCCAAATTTGCTCTAAACTAGGACAGCCAGTCACTTGTCTCATGCTGAAAAAGACTTAATGAGAGAGAAGTATAAAGAGAGGAAAATAGTTGAAAATTAAAAATATTTTGTTATCATTATTAAATATTGCTGTTTTAAAGTCATAATTACCTGGAATTAGGCCAAGTGTAGCTGACAAGTCAAGGAGTGAGTTTGTGACTGGGTTACCTTGCAGTACATAACCTCTTGGGCTGGAGAGGCAGGAGAGCAGGGACCCCACCAGGCACCCTTTCCTTTTTCCATCCTCACTTCCCAGTGCTGGGGAAGAGCCCTGCTTGCTCATCACCCCTGTGCCACAGCTGATGCAGCCTGAATCCCACCTCTGTGGAGATAGAGTTGTTGAGGGTGATACTTCCAGGAGTCACAGATTGCTTTTGGCTCCGGTTCCTACCCCACCTGCTGTCCCTCAAGAAGTGGGTACATCCCTCAGCAGAGAGCTGGCCATGGCACAGCTGGACACAATGCATGGTCTGGCACAGAGAGCAGGCTTGGGAAAGTCTTAACCTTGGTTTTCAGAGTGAAGAGTCAAAAAACTCATCCTTTGCCATCTCTTGCCACCTTCCCCATCCCATTCAGAGCTGCACTGCTACAAAGCTGGTGTCCCCTTCATGTCTCCAACATCTCCATGCAAACAGATTTGTTGTCCCTCTCAGCCAAGGCATCCCAAGGCATCCATCAGCTGCTAAAGGCATCATTTTCTGTTTGTCTTCTCCTAAGCTGCTGCTCCAGCGGAGCTGCAAAATTAACATTGTGCTCAGCAAAATGGTCTGTGTAAAACAAGGGCAATTTATACAGAAACATCCATAATCCTTCACATTAAAATTTGGCTGTTAAAATTCTGGCACCTCTCAGAGGTCACTCTAACCTAGTTAAGTTCTGTTAAGAAAAGCTGTTATTATGGCTCACAGCTTTTTTTTTTTTTTCTCCCCTACAAGATTGTCTCCTTTTGGCTCGTGCTCTTCAGGACTCACCTCTATCTCCCCTGCCCTGCTCCTGCCTCTCCTGGTTTAAATTGCTTTCTGCCATACACTATTAAAGACTAGACTAAACTACCTGGACACTAGGAAAAGTTATCAATCGTTGGGTTAAAATTCCTGCAGTATTTCCTTGTTTGTTCTTTTCCCTGGTTGGTATTTTGACCACAAATGAAGCACATTGAGTGAGGCTCCTCATAGAAAAGGTGCTGGGCTGGAACAGGACAGATGTGAGTTCACTTCCCTGCTGTGACATGGGTTTCCTCTCTGTCCTTGGATATACCATTTAATTTGTCTCTCTCATTCTGTCTCATTCCCTGCCTCACTGCTTTGCACATGATAATATTTGTTTTCACCATCGAGCATATCTCAATGTGTTTCTTCTCCTAGTGTGAAATCTCTATTAACCAATGTGTACACAGGACTGTGGAGAGTAAGATTTCAGTCTCTGGACCTCAAATTTCATAATATCACACAAATAAATACATTAAATAAATGCCTTTCCTTCCAGCTTGTTCACCATGACTGTATGATGTTTGAAACAAAATGATGTTAAGGTTAAACTTGATCTCTCTTGCCTGAAGCTTTTAATGAAGTAAAAAGGATAAGATTTCATTCCAGTATTAGTGTGACAAGTCTACGACCTTAAATAGAGTCCTGCTGAATTTCTCTGGGGGATAAGTCCACAGCCAGATAAATCATAGAATCATAAAATATCCTGAGTGGGACCCACAAGGATCACTGGAGTCCAGCTCCTGGCCCTACACAGGATGCCTGCAAGACTCATTTAGAGCTGCTGACTTCCTGGTGCTCCTTTGTGCAATATTCCCTTTTATCTGCTGAATGAAGAAACCTGGATCACCAGCTGTCCTGCTCCCATGGCACAGGGCTCATCAGCACTTCAGGGTGCACAGCAAGTCCTGGCTTCTTGTTGGGCACGTCTCAAGGAAAGCCCTGCAGGACAAGAATGGAACTTGGCACATTCAAGGCAGAGAAGGATTCCCTAGCATGGGAAGAAAATCCCACTTGCAAAGTGAGTGTTTCTGGAACCATGACAGGATCACAGGTTGGCTTTGAGGTTGCAAGTGCCATTGCAAAATAGGAAAATTGGCTTGTGCCAGTGTAAGTGGGCAAACTGAGGGTGGCACAGAGTGACTGGGCAGAGAAACCTTGCGCAGTTCTCCCTAGGGACCTCCTGTTTTCTTGCAGGGAGATAAAGCAAACCTTGCTTCTCCTTCATAGGTGACAACATTAAGTTACAAGAAGTTTATTCTCAAAATGTGCTTGAAACAACAGTGGTAGAGTCCACATTCCTCATCATAGATAAAAGTGACTAAATTGTGGTTACTGATAACAGCACCTGGGCTGAAAGTGAATCTCCTCTGTGCAGAAAGGAATGTAATCACATTCAGAGGGCCACAGGGAGCTCCTATCTCTGACACTGATATGGAGAAACAGACTGAAAAAGATCAATCTGACAAAGAAAAATATATTTATACTTCAGTAATCAAAGGGACACAGGCACTGGACTCTGTTGCCTTTCTCTTTTAGGGGCCTTATCTGATACTGGCAGGACCATTCCCTCGTGTGTTCAGTTATGAAGCTGCTCCAGGATATTAAAACTTCTGCACTGCGAAGTTTTGAGCTGTCAGAGGAGCACATTCCAGTGGTTCCATCATGCAGGTAATTTTGGGGTGTCAGTGAAGCTAACTGTGCTACTGAAAGTTAGTCCAGGGGTTAAACATCATGCAAAATAAAGTGGCAGAGGGTCACTCATCACCTTGGTGTAACACACTGTGGGTTATCCTGGGCAGCCCCCTGGCTTGTTGAGAGGCTTATAAGGACTCTGCAATTTCAGTGCATGAGATTTTGCTACAGTTCTTTCTGACCACCTCCTTGGGATTTTGCATGGACTGGGGTCTCTTTAGTAGCTTTATGGGATCAGAGCAAAAAAAAAAAAACAGGTGAGAAGGGATTTTAAGTTTTCTTCACCCATTTTTATCCCCCTCTAGCAAGGATCAGCTATCTATCTATCTATCTTTATAATTTCTGATGGATGGTTGTTCTTTAAAAGCCTCCAACAGTGAGACTCTACCCTGCCTCAGGCAATCTATTCCATCCCCTACTTCCCTCACCATTAGGAAGCTTTTCCTGAAGTCTAACCCTCATATCTCTTGCTGTCACTTAAGCCCATTACTTCTTGTGCTTGCCACCTGGTTGTGGCAAACAGATTATTTCCTTCCTCTTTCCAACAACCTTTAAACAATTGATGGCTCTCATGCTCTCTCCAGTGTTTTTCTCATGCTTTCCAGTGTTTTTCTCTCCTCTGTCTGAACCAGCAACTCCCACTATTGCCCACATAGATCATGGTCTTTGATAGTTCTCATTTCTCTCTTCTGGAATTTCTGTAATTATTTCGCTTTTTTTCCTTTCCTTTCTTTTTTTTCTGAGGTCCTGTGCCCCCAGAGGGATAAAACTGAGGTTTTCTTTATACAAGCTGAGGGAAATAAATCAGTTCCCACTGCTTACAGCTCATGACAAATTCCCATCGTCACCTTACACTTGTAGAAAGAGAATTTAAACTAAGACAGAAATTGGTGGGAAAATATTTTCTTCTTGTGGCAGTTTATCTGTTGTCTTTCAGATGATTCTATTAAGTTTTATTACAACTCAGGTTCTTTCTCCAAATCATTAAATGTCTAGGACAGCTGGTACTGCTGAGGTGACCACACCTACATCAGTCCCTGCTTTGAGTGCTGGCATTTGAGTGGCAGCTGTTCCCAAGGAATCAGGGTGTCACTGGAATTACCCAGTCTCACAGACCCTGACTTTGAGATTAGTGTTTGAGGGTGCAACTGTGGTATTTTTGTCCCAACAAATCAACAAGGTGGCTGATACTGGACATGTGGGAGTCAGCTGGTCACTTACTTTTTTTTTTGTCTTTTCCTGCTGAAACTTTGTTTTGGAGATTCTTTAATGTGCTTTGAAGGAAAGCCAGGCCAGCAGAATTATCTCTGTGCTGATACAGCACAGGGACATCTTCTCCCCATTACTGATACCAGACTGTTGCCCAAACACAGAGAAAATGAAATAAGAAAGGTCAGTGTGATTCCACTTCCTGAAGGACAGTTGGAAGAGAATTGGATCCCACTCTGAGACTGACATAAAAGTGACAATGAGGCACCCACAGAAAGTATGAGAAAGAGCAATCCAAGTCTGAGTCCTGAGAGTATCCCTGATGGAACAGGATCATGTCTCACACTGTCTTCTTGGCTCTGATGAGCACATGAGCTTGAAGTTTTTGTTGGGAATGGGGAAAATTGGAGAAGAAAAAACATGGGCAGAGAAAAAACATCTTTCTTCTGAAGAAGTTCCTAACTATGGCCTTTGACTTCAAAGGAAGGTTTGTGAGGAACAGCTGATGCTGGGAGGAGATGGAGAGCTTTGAAAAGTTTTGATGTATTTTGGGTTAAACCTTGCTTGCTTCTTGCCACTGAGGCCATGTAAAGGCCCTTCTCCACTCCACGTTTGTCTCTCTGTGTCATTCCCTGGGTTGGAGCCTCAAAGGCTTAGAGATGATCAAAGAGCCTGCAGTGAAAACAGGTTGATTTTCCACAGCTTTTGAGTCTGGACTGAGTTCTTTTACTAAAACATAAAAATTCACAGAGAACCATTTCTCTCAAAGAAGGGAGACACTCTTTTTTAACAATGTGTGAACTTTGCCGCTGACTCCAACAGGTGACATTTTCCAGCTCTGAAGATCTTCAATAAAACCCAAATTTGGTGTGTCGAGATCGAGATCTCTCCACCCATACTGTAATTTTTGGATGCAAGGCTGCCTAATTGCACTGTGGGAATCCTTTTAAAAAAGCACCTTCTGACAGGGATGCTCTTTAAATAGGCCATTAGTCTTGTGACAGTGCATCAGGGAATTAACAGGGAGTTTGTTAGTGAGGCAAACCTCACATTGCCTTGCTCAGGCTCTTCCCCTGCTAAATAGAGACTGGTCTAAGGAAATCAGAAAGGAGACACCATGGAATGCATGAACAGGGATGCTGGATGGGACAGCAAAGCATCTGGAGGCCTTTCAGCTCTGCTTGGAGTTTTTCCCTTTGGAACAAAGTGCTGGTGGGTGTAATCCTCTATAAATAAAGCCCCACGGCCTGAGATTCACTCCGTGGCCATCACAAAGACAGGTCTGAACCTAGAGAGAGATTCATTTAGGGAGAGATCCAGGTGCCTATACTTTTAATGCTGCTGTGCATTCCCAAAATTATCTGGGATGTCCACACTGGGCTTTTGGAGGCCCAGCACTTCCAGAAGTTCAGTGGGAGATGCTTGATTTTCTGAAGTGTGGTACCAAACACATGAGCTTAGGGACCTGATCCTAGAAATGGCACTTGGAGACATAGAAAACCTCCAAGGATGATTCAGCCCATCCAAAAATATCTGTAGAAAGTATAAGTGTGAGGAGTTTGAAGGAAATCCTACACTTTGTACTTGAATTTGCCTATTATTGCAAATTTATGGCTGAGTCCTCACATGGGGTGGGCTCAGTACCTTCCAGCCTTAGGCTCTGATCCTGCTGGTGAATTAATGCAGATGACACAGAACAGGGACCATAAGAGTGTCGTGTAAAGAACAAAACTGGGGCACATTTGAAATCATCATAAGGGAAAATGGGAAGAAACAAAAAAACACCACATTCATTTCTAATTGTGTGAATGTAAAAATAAATATTCCAGTATTCAGGGCATATCTTCACCCTGATATACTGGCATTCAAACTTGCTACAAGACCTCAGGCTTCAATATTTTGTTATTTTTTTCTGTCAAATTTCCTTGCTGATAGCTACAAACACCTAGAAACCCCAGCAGCATCAGCAAAGCACCGTGCTGTCCTCATGCTCAAGAGAGTGAGAGAGAAGCTGGCTGGGGATTGTGTTGACTGGACCACAACAGCCCCAGCACATTTAACTTCAAAACATGGTCAAGTGCTGTGTCAGCTGCCCTGCACACTGGGAGCTGCTCTGGCTGGCAGCTGTGTCCTGGAAAGGAGGCATGGAACTCACATCTCTGCCGTGTGAGCTGGATGTTTTACTCATGGAAATCAGCCCATGGGAAATGTTTCTGCTCTGTTCTGCAGGTCTGCTGCTGTTTCAGACTCTGCCATGCAGAGGTGTCTTCAAGGAAAAGGGTTAGTTTTTTTTTTTACTTATTGAAATCCCCCAATCTGTGGGCTGTGTTTAAATTCCATATTTTATCAGGATTCACTTTGTGGGGATTTCATTTTATCTACACAAGGAATGGGACACTGAAAAATGCAGAGAGAGGCAGGAGGAGAAGGATCAGCTTTGCACTTACATCTGACCTAAAGGACTGAGCTAGCCAGGTCTTGGTGGTTCAGGTTTTGGATATTATGATGTTCTCACATAGGACAGGCTTTTTGGCTCTTTTTCACAGTGTACATGATGAAGATGTATATTTATTTTAGATAAACACTTAGCCAGAAGGAAGACAACATGTGGTGTAAGGTAAATTATGCAGATAATGTTCTATTATGTGCACAGAGTAAAAAGTACAAGGGACATGAATTTCCCCAGGGAAGCACCTCTGAGAGGGGAGGCTGGGACAACACACAAAATCAAATAAAGAAGAGAAGGAAGAAGGAAAAATAAATTGGAAATAGTTCTGGCAGATTTTGCTTGAAGGAGACAGAAGACTGAATGAGCAAAGGATTGTACTGGAGGCAATTCCTTCCAAAGAAAGGACTTTGTATTGACTGTCACTTATCCAGGTCACTGCTCCAGCTCCTGAGGACAGTGTTTTGACCCTGCAGGTATTCATGAAGCTTGGAATAAGCAATTGGAAGGTGTGAAAAGAATCTATTTAGAAAACATGTTGGAGCATTTCTTCCCTCCAGACCTTGCCTTTATTCCAAGGTGGGGTATCCAGTGATTTTTTTTAGTTCTGGTCTGTCCTGTATGGTCTGCTGAGGTCTGGCTGGAGCAATTCCTGTGGGTTGTGTGGCAGTGTAAGATCAGACACAGCAGAGAAAACAGCCCCTGGGCTGAGACAGGCACAAAGCACTGCTGAGGGTGGAGTAATAATTGTATTTGAACAACAGAACACAGAGTCTCAGTGGGCAGTAACACTTCATTTCATCAGCAACAGCCAAAAGAAGCTTCTCTACTGTCTCTCTTGTTTCACTCCCAGAGCTGTGCCTGGTAGCAGCAGTTCTCAAAGCTGGAGTTATGGATCAGCCCTGGTCCTGCCCAGCTCCACTGCAGCTGCAGTCCTGAGGTGGGTGTGTGTTCTTCTCCACCTGGAATGGGCTAAACTGTGCTCAAGGAAAAAAAATGAGTGAATAAAATAGGCTGGGGGCTTTCCAATCCTTGTGATAGGTCCATAAGGTGTTAATCTCTTCCAGATTTCCTTCAGTGTGTTCAGCCTCAAACTCTCTGACCTGGCTTTTGAGACTTTGGGTTACTGGATTTCACAGGATATGCTGCAGCCTCTGACAGAAATATAATTGTCTCTTCCCATGTGACTGCCAACACAGGCTTTGCTGCAGATAAAAGAATGGGAAAACAAACCTTAGTGCTGGAGCCCTGTGGCTCTGGTTCAGAGTCCTTCACACAACTGTTTGGGGTGACCCCTGTGCTGTGTTCTGACCTCCTGCAAGCAGCTGCTGGAAGAATCACTCCCATTCCCTGAGCTCACAGGTACAGTCCTACATTAAGAAAACAAGCTTTATCAGTCTTTTGCATTTGTGTTGACACCTGCAGGTTCAGAGAATTTTTGTTTGTTTTCCCTGTTCTCCTCAGTGTATAATTGGCCAGATTGCATTTACTTTTTCTCTCTCTTGCCCTAATCACAACTGCAGACTGGAGTAATTTGCTGATGTTGTACAAGGAATTCTCTCCTGGAGACCTGGCTGGTGTGATCAGAACTCACATATGGTATCAGAACAAAGGGCCCTTCAGGCAAGTGGTTCTGTTTATTTTGGCTCAGGTCGATGTTGCTCCCCTCTCCCTGTGTCTTCTCCTCCCTGTGTGCTGTGCTCATCTTTTTTCCTCTGACTTTGGAGCTCCTTGCTGTCAGATCTAGGGTGGCCTGGCTTGTGCAGCATCAGCACCACAGATTTGAGGGGTGTGGGAGAAAAGTGTCCAACACACTGCTTGTAGTTAACATGCTGTGAAGCCTTGCTTCCCTTTTCTCCTCCTTCCTTTTCACAACCTGGAGGCCAAGCAAAGAAACAAGTCTAAGGCTTCCTCTCTGCTCCCCCTCCTTTTCTGGTTAAAGATATTGTGAGTGGTTCGTGTGGACTCCTGTTTTTCATAAACACTCTTGGTTCCACCATCTACTAATAAGTCTAATCCTAATAGCAGTTATTGGCCTTGACTTATTCCTTATTTGCTTTGTAACAGCTGCTGGCAAAGCTGCTGCTCTCCTGATGAATTTTGTTGGTCTAATTTTTGATAGCACACTTACAGCCAAGGCCGACAGCCTGTTAGAAAAACCAGTGTCATCTCTGCATTTAATACTCTGCCCCCAGCTCTTATTTCAGCTAAGTATTAAACATCGCTCACAACGTTGCAAAAATCAGTTGCAGTTTGCAATATTAGGAGGAAAAAAAAATCACAGGAAGTAGTGGATGAAAAGGTAAGTACTGAACATCAGCATCTCTGGTGGTTGTGTACTGATAAAGGATAAAATAGCTGCTGCCTCCTCTTCCTGAGGCTTTCCTTTCTCCACAGAGGGGCAGATATATAATGGTTAATGCCTCTCTAGCATCAGTATCCTGTCTGTGGGCTCACAGATTGCTTGTATCTGTGCTGTTATTTACAAATAAAAGGTTTCCACATTTTATTCTTGGTCCTTCCTGTATTGTGTGTAAATGTATCTTCTTCTGTCATTTAGCAATGCTTTAGAAAACAGCTGCTGCCCCCAGGGTAAACCTTTAAACAATGTCCTACTCTGACAAAATTCTGCTTCATCAGCAAACCATGTTGTGCATATTTCTCTCATTGTTTTGCAAATTGCTGTTACAAAGAGCTTTTGCATTTAAACAGGCTCTCTCTGACCTAAGAGATGGTAAAAATTACTTTAGAGATGCCATAGTAACTTGTCACTGTGACCTGCCCTAAATAGCTGGACTTATTTCACTTGGATAAATTATTTATTTATAATGACCTATTATGTCATCAGAATTTTGCAGCAGAGATGCTTCAGCTCCAACTTACATGAATATTCTTTTGAAGGGCTAATCAGAAGAGATATACTATCAGGATTATGTGCTTTAAAAATACAGTTCTAGACAGCACTGCCCAAGCTGGGAAGTAATGATTAATCTGTTCTGATTACTGTGATCCTATAGATTCTCACTGCTCACCCGTTCTCCATGATCTCAGTTAGAAGGAGCTCTTATTCTTAGTTCCCTTTTTCCCTAGAGCTACATTTCCATGACCTTTTAAATAAATTTACAATTAGAGCCCAGTGCTTCTAGACTTCCTTTGATAACTTAAGAGAACAGCATGGTGCAAAATTTTCTCTCTCCCTCCCCCTTTTAACAGACTTTATTTCCTCATTGTCTGTTAGGAGCATCTCTGTCTGCTTTGGATATGTACATGGTGCTTCCCGAGCCCCAGAATTCCCTCTGTGCAATTCTGCTAATGAAAAGCCAGCCACAGAAGGTGTTTTGTCCTTGTAAATCCATGGCACAGGGAGGATATTCCTGTATTGCTTCCTGTCTGCTGTCACTGAGGTCACAGTTCTGGCACAGAGAGAGCCATGAACAGCTGCAGAAATCCTGGGATGTCCCTGCTATTGCTTCCTGGAGGGATGGATGTGGGAATAAGTGTCAGGAAAAGGAAATTGCCAGTCATGTTCTCTGTCCTGGCCCCGTGCTCATGGGAAAGGGTTGGCAGGTGGCTCCTATTCCTTCCATGGAGGATGAGAGTAGCTTTTTCCAATTTATCTACTGAATGTCTGCCTAAACAAAACTGTCACAAAATATTTTCACACATGATTACTGACCTCAGCCCCAGCTCAGGTCTGGTCTTGAGGTCACACCAGACCTTCTGCTCCTTTTGAGGACATTCTCTTGAAACTGCATCGAGAAATAATTTCTGCCCTTCTTGTGAGGAAGTAAAGACAGTGCCTTGCAAACCAGAGAGTGACCATCCCCCTTGGCCCTGACCATGCCCTGTGTCCATTGTGCACCTGAACCCATCCAAAAATTTTCATACAGTGCAGAGAAATCGTGAGTGCAAGGGAATATTTGTGACCTGAGAGATGGAGTGCAAATGTGTGAATTGTTTATTGTGTGGGCTGGCTGTGTGGGGCACTGACTGGTAAATTTCTGTGGGAAAAATGGTCTTCAGAGAGCAGTGAAAAGCCAGCACGTTATTTCAGGCCATGGTGGGGAGGATGAAGGTGGCTGCCCATCACCTGCTGTTCTTCTCCAGAAGAGAAGAGAGCTGGGCCAGGAGGGACAGCACTTGCACTGTGCCTGTGGGGCCCTGCAAGAATTGCTTTTAAAAGCTCTGTCTTCACACCTTTACAGTCCAAGTAAAGTGGAGAAATAAATCACTGTGCACAGTTGTCATTTTTCCCCTCTTAGCACCAGCCAAATTGTTTAAATGTAACTAAAGCACTGTCTTTCCTCAGAATAAACACTCAGATACTCAAAATAAATTGCTGAGTCCTGGTATCAAAGGAATGATTTATAACCCAATTACATTGGGAATTTTATTGTTTCACTGATAGGTTATGGGTCAATTAGGTGTTTTACTCCTGGAGGAACACATCCTCATTCCACCACAAAGTGTCTGAGTCTGGCACACTGGGATTTGCTCTGTCCACCTTGTGAACCACATCCAGTTTGTGGAAAAGCTTTGAGAATCATTCTGCCAGGGGCCAGATCTGTAATTTTTGTAGCATTTTGTCTCTGTTTACTGCTCAGGGCATTGTCAGGAATGCAGAGAGTTCCTTTCTGGTGAATAATCTTCAGCATCTTCTGTTTTCTCGTTAGACTTGCAGCGTGTGGAAGATGTTCATGGTGCAGCTGAGTCTGTAAGGTCACTGGGCAATGGACATTCCTGAGCCTTCAGGCTGACAGCATCACTAATGGTCTGCAGCAGGGGCCATGAGCAAACACCTGGTGAAGACTAGGAACAGAGAAAACTTGTTTACTCTTCCTCCATAATATTTTTATTCTCTGAATGCGGTCAGCTTAGGATTTCCTAAAATTAATGTGATTCTCAGTAAGCTGCCCTGGGTTCCTCTTGTAGCTGCTTGTCCATTCTGCCCTTGAACATCCACAATTGTAGAACCACTGTGGAAAAGGCACACTGTTACCAGAACAAAACCTATTATCCCCTACAATGGTACAAACCCACACTTGCTGTAAAGCCCTTTAGTTAATTCTGTAAAGAGTAATTCTTTATCTGTGAAATCTGAACAAGGGAGGGGGTTTGACCAAGTTAGTAAATGTAAAAGAGGAAATCCAGGGGAAACTGTTTTATGATAATGCCTCTTAAATCTTGCATTATTTTAGCAATGCAAATTCAGTAGAGCATTTTAATTCCCTTGTTAATATGGACTTTTCCAGTCCTGCATGTTACCTACATCAGTAGAAGCCAGAAAGGGAATCCAGCCCAAGGGTTTTGTATCATCCTCTATTTGCTCCTCCTCCTCCTTTTTTTTTTTTTTTACAAATTAGAATAACAATGTCATAATCTTGAATAACATTATGCTTTTCTATTCCTATAAATAACAGTCATGTTCTCTAGCCACAGGGATATCGAATCTAAAAGGGAAATAAAATCCAAGCCCAGTTATTTCTGAGTGAGACCCCAGGCAGATGATGGTTTTGGTACTTTCATGCCCAGGCTTTTTTGTTTCCTGGACGTGGCTCTTGTCATCCTGGAGTTGTTTGTAGTAAATGGTGTTCACTGAGCAAGCCCCTCAAAATGCCTGACTCTCCTTGTTGCTCCTCTCCCCACATCTCGATTATCTAACACATTAATACAACAAGCACTGCAATAATTAGGGCACCATATGGCACTCACAATTACAGAGCAATTCCAGCATTGGTGGATTGGGTGAGTAGTCAGAAAGAGTAAAATAAGCAAGGCTGCTGGTGTGAGCAGAAGATGACTAAATCAGTGTACTCACATGGCAGAGAGGCACTGGGTGAGTTACGTGTGTGCACAAGCTGGACTTGGGGAATTTTTTAGTTTTGTTCTCATCCACGATGAAAAGGCACCCAGGGTTAGAAGGGTGCACTGAAGTGCTGCAGAGAGATAAGTGCCCTTCGTGGCACATCTCTCTGAAGATGATCTTTATTATACTTGGCTTCCCTCAGGTCGGTGAGTTCTCAAATATTTCCCTGTCTGGGACTGTATTGTCATTTAGCAGTTATAGTGGGTATTTAGTGTTTTCAATTATTTGCTACTTCATTGAGAGCACAACAGACATTGTGGGATTCTTAGTTAATCCTCTAAATAATAAAAGGAATCAGGGAGCATGTACAAGCTGTGAGATTTTCCTGGCCTGGCTGTCAGCTGGGAATGTGAGCAAATCATGCCCACAAGCCATCACAGTCATGCTAACAAAAGCTTTGGGGCACATGCAAAAATACAGATTGTGAAGTATTCCTGGGTTGTATCTCTGGAGAAATGTTAGAGCTGGGCTTGAGGAAGAGTCTTGTGGTGATGTAAAATGCGTGTCCTTTATGGATGATTGCTCATATGAGCAGTGTCAAGAATTTTGGTGTAGAAAACCCCATTTGGTATTTTATCCCTGCTAAAACATTTTCTTCCAACTGAAACACTTCAGCTGCTTGGATGAAGATTGTCTTTCAAATGAAATAGCTGTTTTCATATTTGCACTGAACATTTTCTAACACCGTGGAACAGACGTGATGGATGCCACAGGAGGAAGGGCAGGCTCCCAGGGAAGGTTAGTGGGTGACCTCCCAGGATGTCACCTTCTCCTCAAGAAGCCCCAGGACATCCTTTTCTTTGTTTCTACAGAGCAGAGGCAAAGCAACCAACCCCTTTTTTCCTGAGGACAAATCCAAGTACATCTGGATGAGCATGAAGAATGAGAATATGAATACAGACAATTATGATGGAGTAGAGGCCTTGTAAATTTATGCCCAAACTTACCCCCTGGTAACTCATTCATCTGCATGTCTTGACAGAATGCATGTGAAATAGTGGGACAATAAAGGCTTTTGTTATGCTGAAAGATGTTAATAGCTGGCCTCAGGGTGAGCTGGGTTTCCAAGACAATCACAGATAACACAAATAACACAGCAAAACTCAGGAGAATGAACACTGAAGCCTTTATTTTGTAAAACAGAGAGACTGTGGCTATGTCAGGGTGGGGGTTATCTAAAGGTACAGGTTTTACAGGATCTTATTTTTATGGAAAAGGACTTTCTGGGACGGCAGGGGAGTTGCTGAACTGCTCATTACACATATGAAAATATCCAGAAAAACATCAACTACTGTGCCTCAGCGGGTGAGGGTCTAAGGAGGTGTCAGAGGGCACTGGGAATGGGCCCCTGTGCCCCTCTTTGCCCCACTCCAGCACCACGCTGTGAACAAAAGGAGATGCTCACAAAGAAATACTGCAGGGAGCTGCTCTGACAGTCTTTGGATGGT